TTGCGTATTTAGTTGAATTTTTCAAAGACTTAGCGATTTAAATAAATCAATGCAAGGGTCTCAAATTCGTGCTTTTGTTCAGAAAGACAAGATTACGGTTTTTATGAAAAATTAGAACTGTGTATAGCTAGTATCAAATAACTTTATAACTTTAACATTTTCCCACTTTTAAAATTACTTGTGTTACTGATGAAATAGAAGTAAGTAAAGATCTTATTATTATATCAGTCATATGACTAGTCTACGAAACCAATTTTCGCATTACTTTATCTAATTACGTCCAAATACGAATGGATTAGAAATCAATTTGTCATTGAGAAACATGATGATTTTGGTCATTCAACAGCAGAGCAGAAAATGATAATTGATTTATCTAGTGATAGCACATTGAACCAGATATTTTAGGACGAAAATATATTGTTGAGTTTTGGTTACCAGTGAAGGACGATTTTCCTACTTTGACAAATAATGCTTCAGAAATTTTATTACCATTTGTGAGATCTTACTTATGTGAAACAGAAAATTCTTATAATAAATAGTTATGTTTGTATGTATATTTTTTATAATACCGTGTATTATTTGGCATAATTTCAGTTATATTAAGTATATTTAAATTAAATTGTTAGAAAAATAAGAAGGGGGGGGGCGCAATATTTTTTTCATTCGAAAGGGGGGCGCAAGGAAGAAAAGGTTGGAAACCGCTGAGTTAAGGCATGTTGTAAATATGAACTGTGTCCAGCATTTTTGAAGATTTTTTCAGAATTTGGATTTTTTTTTTTAATTTTAAAATACGAAGGTATTTTGTGAAAATTTTAATATTTTTGAAGAATTTTGTGAAAAGAATTATTTTTGGAAATTTTGAAAAATCACGAAAATTTGAAAAAAATCGAGAATGTTTGAAAATTATTTTTTTCCCCAAAATTTGGATTTTTGAGTTTTGTGCATTTTGGTACGGAACCCTAAGTAACAATTATATTTTCTGAACTAAATACAAATACTAAAATCGCTTGTTTGATGCATGTACATTTACATAATTTAGAACTTTTTCCTAAGTATTTCCTAAACAGCTAGACCTGCCTTACCAAAATTTCATCAAATTTACATTCCGTCAATACAAGTGAAATGATTGTTGAATCATTCAAATCGGTTGATCCGTGCATCTAAGATCGTGAACAAAAAATTGTATCCATACATACTCATACATACTACGTACACATACACACACACATACAATGATAATTATTAAGTAATTATTATAATTTATGCCAAGATATTCAAATAAAGGTCTAGAAATTAAAAAAAAATCAATTATTATAACTGTTAATTTAAATGGAAAGTTTAAAACTAACCACAGTAGCCGGAAAATTAATACAACTTAAGTTTTGACCTGAAGCTCTAGGTTTCATTCAAAAGCTCATAGTTTTTATAAAACAAATTCTATTTTTTGCCGTTGAGTTCTGGGACACCATGTAAATAATATTATGGAGAGCTTGCTTCAACTTTTTCACTAATTCTAAATCGGGTGATTCGTGCGCCCTAAATCGTGTGCAAAAATTGAACCAAACATACACACATATATACTAGGCATACATACAATGATAATTATAAGGTATTTTTTTAAAAAGCTCATAGTTTTCAAACTGCACAGAAAAATTATTTTTTCTGTTTTTATGTCGTTGAATTCTGGGATACCTTGTAAACAATATTTTTGGGATATCGTTTTAACACAGTTTTCAAACTGCACAGAAAAATTATTTTTTCTATTTTTGCCATTGAGTTCTGGGACACCCTGTAAATGATATTTTTGGGAGATCGCTTTAACATAGTTTTCAAACTGCACAGGAAAATTATTTTTTCTATTCTTGCCGTTGAGTTCTGGGACACTTTGTAAATAATATTTTTGGGAGATCGCTTTAACATAGTTTTCAAACTGCACAGGAAAATTGTTTTTTTTTATTTTTTGCCGTTGAGTTCGGAGACACCCTGTAAATAATATTTTTGGAAGATTGCTTTAACTTTAGCTATGCTTTCTTGGGAAAAGGTTTTTGAAATGACCCTTAATAAATAATAATAATAATAATAGTAACATTGTTATTGATTAAAATTAAAATTACCTATTTATTCTATTCTCTAGATATGTATAATATATTCTGCATATATGCAACTTTTAAATTTTGTTAAAAAATAGTAAAAAATATGTTGAATAAATAACTTTAATTACAATTATCATTCAAATTAAATTAATTTCAAATATCAATGGTCTAAATTAAATTTATAGTTTGTTGACAAAAAACAAACATTGAATGTTAACACATACTATTTCTGTATTTAATATTACTCTAATTAAATATTTATTTTGGTTTCGTAATAAAAATGCAAATAACAATTAGCGTAAATGTATTTATTGGTAAATTAAATTATACTGAAAAGTTAATACAATGTCATAAAAATCTTATCTCTGAAGAATGATATGCTTGAATGAATGTGAAGAAAAAATCGTCTATAAATATTTTACTATGAGTGTTATATAAATTTAATTTGAAATTGCAGAAAAGTATTAATTATTGAAACAAAAACTTAGAACTTTATAAGTGACATTTTGTGAGATTTTAAAAGTTTAAAGTGAATTTTGAGTAAATTAATTCAAAATTGATACTCAAATCATGACTATGGGCGAGGAGAGTATAGAAATTGGAGACGCTTTGCCTCCGCCTGAAATTGTTGAAACTCCTGAAGAAAGGTAAAGGTCTAATTTTATTTTTTGTTACATAATAATTTTTTAAATTAAATAACATATAGTGATAGTTTTATCTAAGAGGTGATCAATTCACATTTTGACAGTGACAAACCTATTTTTTTTTATTGACATGGTATTTTCGTATTTCAGTCAGACAGGGGTGACTGGTATAAGATATTATGAAACAATTTTTTATATACATGTCATATTAACTATTTTATTCTACTTTCATAAGTAGCTCTAATACCTTTAAATATTTCTTCAATTTTCATTTTCAATTTCTTTATAATATTTTGTTATTTAAATTTTGAGAGTGACAAACCTCAATTTTATTTCATCAAGATGATAAGAATGTTCCAAATGCAGTTTTCCTACTTAGTTTTGCATTTTGATAGGTATTGTGTTTTTTGTTTAAAAACTAAGGTATATTTTATAGGTTCTTTATGGAAAAAAATACAACCCAAAAAAGTCATTATTATCAACAATTATAATATGAGTATATTTTATTTCTACAGGAAGTGATATTTGGTTTATTTTTTGCCAAAATAAATTGAGTACTTTACAAAAAGTTTTGTAAGAAAGTTCTAAGAAGAAAAATTGTTTTACTGAAAAGTTTCAATTTAAAAATATCACATTTCAGAATAATTACTAAAACTTATGATGTAACACTGAAGCAAACTTATAATTAGAACTAATTATCACATATGTGATTGTCACAAGAATTCAGAGTATTTTTAAACAATTTATCTAACTAAATAAGAACACGTTTCCTGTTCAATTACACAAACGAACCATTATAATTACAATTCAAGAATTTTTTTTTGTATTAGATAGAGTGGGTAAAAAGGTCTACAACTGATATCTCAAACACAATTGAAGTTAGGACTTTTTTTTAACAATATTATTTTAAAGTAGAGGGCAAACTCTGTATAACCAGCCATCACTTTGATTCAGGAGATAAATCGGAAATCTATGAAAATTCACAACAAAAGCATTTTTCTTCGTTGTTATTTATTGGTTGCGCACTGTTGTTTAGTTTACGAGACCTCAATAAAAATTTTATGTCTACGATATTTAAATGTTCTATAAGACGTATTGTTATTTTTAAGTTAAATTCAATCATTTTTCTTATGAAATCTCTATAAAAGCTAGCATGTGGGTGGGGTAAAAAGTACCATCCAAACCTTTGCTTTACCAAAAAGGACCATGTGACCAATTTTTAAAAAAACGGCAAAAACACTTTTCTACAATGTTGAATTAGCTGGGAGTTTAACTGAACATAGTCAGTTAGTTGTTTATTTGATGTGTGTTATTTGTTGTGCTAAAATTGATTATTCTCACAATATATTTTCTCCAAGTCGAATTAGATTTTTTGGACTTTATCTTTTAATATTTCGTAATATTGAATAAAATTATTTTACACAAAAGTTTTGTTTTCCAAACAATTCTGGGTTCAACGATCTTTTCTCGTTACACTCTGTTAATTAACCCGGCAGATTCACAGTACACTTTTCTTTAATTAAATTATAATAATAACATGTACTTTCATGTAATATTATGGTTATTGCTTAAATGGAAAGCTGATTGGAAACGCCAACTTTGTGCTATATTGCACCAGAAAAAACTTTTTAGTGAAATCGTAAAGGACACATTTTGTTTGGATAATAGTCATAATGTTTTTTGTCTTAAATTTCCCCTTTTCTTTGTTTTTCCGATTTTGTCTTGATTTTGTTGTCTTTATGTTTGAAATTCAACCAGAAGGGATAAAAAATACATGTCACTTAAAACAAAACTAATTGCTGGTAATTGACTACAAATGTTCAACTTACCTCATAAGCAAATAAAGTGATCTACCAAGTAACAGTTATATTATTAAAAGAAGAGCAAAAAATCTTACTTTTGTCTCTTCAAAAGCAATACAATTTACAAGTCATGTTTCAATGTAATAATGTAAACTTGTTCGAACAAAAATACTTCATATTTCCCTCTTTTCGACCTTATATATAGACCTTATATTACATGGACTGCTAGTCGAGCGCAAAATAAGTGCTTAATCATAGATGTCACGTGTCATGTGACGTCACATGTCTGAGCGAACATTGCCGACGACATTCGCGGACTGTAATGTCTATGACAAAATTAGTACAGTTCAGCTGTTAGACGACTGTCACCAACGTACTCTGGCACAACCGTACCCATAGAGTATTAAAAAAGTAAATCTAAGCAATTGTTTTTTGTAATAATCTTTATTTCTTTTTTCCAGATATGAACGTTTGCTGAGACGAGCCAAAACTGAAGATTTGACCGAAGTTTCTGGCATCGGATGTTTATACCAGAGTGGAGTCGACAGATTGGGCAGGCCCGTCGTCGTCTTCTGCGGAAAATGGTTCCCTGTCAATAATTTAAATTTGGACAAGGTGAGAAAAATTCATCTAAATTAACTAGTTGTGTATGTTTCTTTTCATGTAATAAAATTCCACAGTATAATATAATCTACTAATAAAATATATATAAAAATAAGTCTGGTTTTCCTTCCTGACGATATAACTCCAGAACGCACGAACCGATTTCGACAATTTTGCATTCGTTGGAAAGGTCTCGGGCTTCCGAAATTGCTGGAACTTTACGCACCGTAATTAAAAATACGAAAAATGACATTAGTGAGAATTATCAGAATTATGCTTGGTTAAGTCAACGAGCAATTCTTGCCGCAAAGAATAATGATGTACACGTACTGAATTTCACCATTCAATCAAAAATTGCTGGCGATTTGGTGACATACCAATGATTCCGACTGGTCTTTCGTTTGACTTCAAACGATTGCAATTTCCAGTTCGCCTTGCGTTCGCAATAACAAGTCGCAAGGCAAATCGCTTAGTGTTTGCGGGATAAATTTCAAATAGATTATTTAGAAAATCATTGTTTTTCACATGGGCAGTTATACGTTGCCTGCTCACGAGTTGGAAAACCATCCGCTTTGTTTGTGTTAACGTCAGACCAAAAAACAAAAAATGTGGTTTACCATAGAGCACTTCAATGAAACGGATAACTTGCGGATTCACTTTCATTTACTTAGAGAAGTTCAACTAAAAAACACTTCATTTTTGTAATCGAAATAAATTTATTACTTTTGTGTAGTTAAATCAAATTTTCCTTTTTCAAATATAAAACAAACAAAAAATTTCTTCATCTTTCTCACGAAACCATCTGGTGGCGAAAAGTTCGTCGGTGTTGCTAGTATATACTCGTATATATAATTTTTCTGAGTCAACTCATTGTCTGGTATGAGAGATGGTCAATAATTTTATCATAGCTTTGATGGTTACTTTAGTTTTATAATAATTGATGTTGAATTATATGGGTCAATTACATTTTCAGGCTCTTTTATATCTGATCGCTCTATTGGATCCGATCGTAAAAGGAGATTACGTGATCGCCTACTTCCATACTCTGACGTCAAACAACAACTACCCTTCGTTCGCCTGGCTGAGGGAGGTTTACAGCATATTGCCATACAAGTGAGTAAACGAATAGATAGGAACTAGTGGTGTATGGAAATGGAAATTTGTTTTATGATAGATTGTATTATAATTTATGAAGGAACTAGTGCTGGGATTTAGTGCAGGATTTTTTTGTCTTAAAAAAATGATTTTTTTTTAGATTTTTAGAAAATTTTGACTTTCTTCAAACATTTTTGAATTTATTTAAAACTTTGGTGAAGAAATGAAAATTTTGAAATAATAAGTTTTTCTTTCAAATTTTTGAAAAACGTCGAATTTTTCATGAAATCTTTGAAACCCATTCAAGTCGCTTCTTCCTTACTGTTAAAAAGAACAAAAACATTAGTTTGAATTATATAAGTGGACTTCAAATATTTCAAATCTTAGCCTAATAAAAATAAAATTTACACTAATTATTAAAATTGCTATAAGATCTGATAATTAAGTGTGCATATGTCCAATGATCATTTTTGACCGCCAAAGGGCACTTTCTTACTTTTTTATGGATTTCCGATACGGCCGGACTTGCCTTCTCCAAAATTTAATCAGTTCTCCACTACGTCAATACAAGTAAAATGTTTTTTGAATTACTCAAATCGGACACTCCGCTCTCTCAAAAACTAAATTGAGATTTTTTAACTTTTCGTAGGGTAAGTTATAGAAATCGCAAAAATATCTAAAATGAAAATTTTTATATATCTGTACGTTTCAAAGGTTTCTGAACATTTTGGCATACCTTAGAAAAATTTGATGTATGTGTGTGTGTGTGTGTGCAAATACAAATTTTCGACGACGATTTCGGGAACACCGATCAACCGATTTGAATAATTCAAAAACCATTCAAAAATATTTTGTTTCGTATTTTCTAATCTGTTGAACCAGCCTTTGCAAAAAATTTATCAGAATGTCTCTCCATTAATAAGAATCAAATGTTTTTTGAATCATTCTAATCGGTTGATCATGATAATGATCATCGGTTGAAAAACACATACATATATTTTTCCTATTTCTAGGTATGCAAACATTTTCATTTTCGATTTTTTTGAGATGACTATTTAACTTTACCCTAAGGAAATTTCAAGATATAAATGATTTTTATGTTATTTTATATTTTAATAAACAATCATAATTTTTCATAGAAATTCAGAAGATTTTTAGGAATTATTTGCTTATTGCTTGTGAATTATACAAGCTTTAAATGTGTTTCTTATAAATATTTTGGATTCTCTACAATTTAGCCGAACTTATAATAGCATGAAGAATTTTTTTTCAAATTTGATAATTTGATGTAGAAAATTATTGTATTATGATTAGATCAAATAATTATTTTACAAAATGAACTAGGTTATATTTTTCCAGAAAAATATTATTTTGACGTATTGTTAGATATACTAAATAATTTTTATTAATTTTATTATTTTCTTTTCAGATATAAGAAGAATTTGAAAGCCTTCTATATCATTCATCCTACGATCTGGACGAAGGTAATTATAAAGGATCTTTAATCAAAATTTTTAACCATTATAAGTTTCAATTGGGTTGATCAAATTAAATAAATAATCATCAATCACGCACAATATATTTAAATTTTTCTACTTTAACTCTTTTAAAATGAAATTATGTAAAATTAATACCTTAATCTTATATAAAAATTACATATTAAGTATTTGTAAAGCATTTTGGTGATCCATAAATATATGAAAATAAGTTTCTTTCTAAAGAATAACCTGATCATAGTTTGGCATAAGAAATTGACAAACTAATTCATTATCCTAATTTATCCTTGATCCTGATAATTGTTGAAAGAAGTAGGAGCAATATCTACAGAATTTCGTCCCTGATTTTGGGAAAAAAATTGTAGAAAATTTTTGAAAATACAATTCATAGCAAATCAAATTTCTATAATTATCTGAAAAATTTATACGAAGTTAAAATTATTTTATATTTAGATGATGACATGGTGGTTCACAACTTTCATGGCTCCAGCAATCAAACAAAAAGTACATTCTTTACCAGGAGTAGAACATTTATATTCTGTGATGACACCAGATCAGTTGGAAATTCCTGCTTATATCACCGAATACGATATGACGGTAAGATGAAAAATAATTTTAAAAATACCAAAAACATTTAGTTTATAAGAAATTGCTAAATTCTGTGATAATTATATTTTAGATCAACGGTTTACATTATTTCCAACCAGGACAGACAACTGCGGCCACGTAATATAGCGTTCTATGTCCGAGAACAAAAAATTTAAAAGCAAATCAAAATTATTCCATAACATATGAAGAGATTCATCCCTTAACTTATAAGTCGTTAGTTGATAATAATCAAAGTGAATGAAACATTATCATAATTAATATTTTATTTTTAATTTTAATTTTATTTTTAGAATCATATTTGAAGTTGGAGCGTTATAACAATTAATACATTTTGTTCATCATTAGGTGTAAAAAGTAATATTTAGTAGGCATTAAGTACTTACAAAGTAATTAAA